GGGGGGAGGACCTGGCCCTTTCCCACAGGATACCCTGGTAATATAGCCTCTGCCAGTACATCCCAGAATGAGCAAAGTCTTTTCCTCCCAACATCAGACATGAAGTGCCTGGAGGGTAGGAGTATCCAGCTTCCTTCACCCCTGCCTCTTCCATAGCTAAGACAGGTCCCAGCCACAGGGAATCTTGCAGCATTTTTTTTAATAATGGTCCAAATTAATGGATACTAGTTAAAAATAATTAGAACACTGCTTTCTAAGCACTTTCACACTGTTGATATAGAACACTAACACACAAATTTTCTGGAAATATGTTTCTCTAAGGGTCTAGAAAGCTTGAGTATGTTACTACACTGACAGTTCAAGAAAAGAGATCAAAGATGCCGATTTTAAACCTGGAAGGGGGGAAAAAACACCCAGGAAACTTTAGAAGTTGAACAAATACCTCGTGGGTCTCAGGAGCAACCTGGGAATCAGTAATCTCATCTAAGTCATCTTCAGCCGCACAGTCTTCCTGTGCTCGCAGCCTTTGGTGCCCACCATAAGCCTGCAAGTATTCTTCATCCTAACAGCCATTAAAGAGAAGAAATGGTTTCTCACCAAGCTTTTGGGTTGTTTTTTTTAAAGCACTTTTCATCTCATGACTCATGCGGCGTTATCTTAGTTACCTGACTGAGCACAAAGCAGGAAGCACCTCCTTTGTGTTCATGCAAACAAAGTATTGGTATCATGCTGGCCTAGTTGCCTGCCATAGTTAGTGACATAAGCTCTGTTTCCTGTCCAAGTGCCCTGTTAAACAGCTCTCCCTCAAATCCACCCCAGGAAAAATAGCCCTGGCAGACCTGAGCAAATGCTCTACTGAGGAGTTTGGCAGCAGGAAGGGCTGAAATCATGCCCACTCTCACAAGTCTTACAGCAGTAGAGACCACAAAATTGTGGGCAACGGTGCTTTCTGAAAATCTCAGATTGAATTTGGTTTCTCCATCAAGTCCTCCCTTGAGCGAAGGGCTGACTTTAGGCTTTGCATGAAATGCTAGGGGCAAATCAGCAAGCCCTTCTGGGCTCATGGAAGGATATAGGCAAGCTGACTGGAGATGATCACTGCCAAAGAAAGGATACTCCTATATGACGAGCAAATTACAGAACTGATCCTACTTAGCAAAGGTAGGCTTCCCAGAGGCCACATGCTCAAATTGTACAATAAAATGGTTATGAAGCAGAAGCAGCCCTAAAAAAAAAAAATGTACCACCTTCAGATCCTCATAACCTACCACATAATATGTATGACAGTCTTGCCCTTACCCAAGAAAGCAGCTGTGTCCAAGTACAGAAACTACCTCAATGTCCAAACTGCCTCTCAAGATGATCTGAACACACTTTTCTACTTTCTAGAAGAAACTTAAACCTATGAAAAAGAATCGCCACCATTACTCTAGCATCACCTTTAACAAAACAGTCAGATTAGATTTTAAATAGGCCAGAGATGCTGCTCAAGATTCCAGCCACTACACAATGCAGGCAGGGTCAGCCTTTAACCCTCACTATGCAATTGCAGGCAGGCATTGAAGAAAAGAATCTGCTACCCAAAAAAAGTAAATCTGGAAGTGTTTTTACCAAACAATGTCTTGTGAGTCTCAATCTACATTAATTTTTGAAAGCCTTTAATATACTAATTACACTAAAATATTCATCATCAACAGATAATTTTTACTATTTTGTTGATGGCCAAGCAATGTACAGGCCTTTTTGCACCAAGAATATAAATTCAAATAAAATCACTATTTATTCTCAAGAAGAGTTATCAGCAAATTTCACACTTAAAAGTTACTTCGGAGCATGAAAGTAACGATGACTAAAACTCACTGCCCACACGAGCATCTCAGGATCTCCCTTCTTTACAGGCAAGAGTCCTTCTAGTTGAACATTCGGTGGTTTACAAGTTATGCCTCAACAGTCTTAGAACTGTAAGGTGAGCTCTCACAGAAAAAAATGTGCTCATGGGGCCACCTTCAGAGTTTAAATCTGACTTTAGAGAGCAGGTTAACAAATCCAATTACAACAAGGAACAGTTAAATAAACTGTCATAAGCCACATACCACCAGGACACAATCTACTCATATATTCCTTAGTCTAAATATAGATAAGTATTCTACAAGTCAGAGACAGTCTTGAAAAACCACGAGAGAGGCCTCCAAATGCCTAGCAGGAATGGAGTATTCCAGTTTAATTCCACACACCTTTTCCTATACAACCCCATCTTCAGACACTACCACAGGGGTCAACGATGGAGACAGAAAAGGATGGCCATGGCTGCCACACCAGACTTGCTCACACAACCTTCAGATACATTCTCTCACAGGCCAAGGTGACCACATTCCAAGCTGACCACTCTCTGTGAAAACATTAGGACACTTTCAGAATTCCTAAGTAAATGTTTACTTTTTGTAATTCTGACAAAAATAGTTTATTTTAATGTAGAAGAATTCTATGAAAATGTTTTAATCGCCAAATTTGATTTTTTTCCAACATCTGAATCTCAGACCACAGACACTCTACAATTAAGACTGAATTTTATTTCAGCCCTTATGAAGAACAAAGAAGAAATGTCTCTTTACAACTCAAAAATGCCAAGTGAAAAATGCTCCCATATGACCAAGCACTACCCTCAAAGTCATCTGTCCAACTAAATTCTAACTTCATGAGCAGTTTCACGTTTTATGATTCAACAGTATTTGTGTCCCAAAGCCAATGCTTAGACATCAATCAGTAAAGATATGCTGCACAGCCAAATTTAAAAGGGGAAAGGACTCCAGAATTATTAGCCAATCATTGATTTTATCACTAATTTATAAATGATTTGATGAGGCCTTGGCATAGTTTCTATGAATTGTTTTAAAATAGTGTTCTACTTTAACAAAGAATACAAATACACCTATATATCAGAATCCCTCATCTAATGAAGAATTTATTGACAAAACACATCATTTTGAGGCTACAAGATAAAACATCCCCATGATGTCTTTCCATAATTCTATTAACCAATCCAGTAACATCTTTTCTGAAGAACAGTCATTCAGAAAGAAACTTCTCACTAAGATACACACATGGCACAATCATGACTGAAACTAAACATCCTCAGGTTTCATGTAATCAAACCTTCTGAAAAATATGCATGTATACACATAAAAAACCAACCCTGGGTAATTTTTGAGCATCTTCCTCAAATGACAGCAGACCCTAAACGAAGACACATCCAAGAACTATTCTCCCAGATGCTCCAAGGGCCCTCACACCTCCTGCCTGGCCTGGCACTCCCAACTCCTCTCCACCTCAATGGGACCCTGGTGCTCCAAAAACCACACAGCTCTACACAAATGCTGAGGTCACCTCCTTCCTGTATGAATGTCATTAAGTGCTTAACTGAAAAAAAGCAAGTCTCTTTAGAGGGTTCATTATGACAGATGAGCAAACTTACAGTACTACATTTGTCTTTCCAGATGGTTCAACTTAAAGAAAACCTTTCTGAAATAAAAATCAGCACAATCTTTGCTTGCTGATTACAGATAAGAAATTATGTGTGACATTTTCTATACCATCCAATCTCTTTATTCAGGTTTGGACAGTTCTCAGTTACAAAAAAAAAATGAATGAACAGGACATCAATCACTGTGGAATATTAGCACCTTAAAGATGTCTTTAGCAGGTCAATAATCTTTTCACCTTAGAAGGACTTTATCAGATCTTGTCTAAAGCCTGGATAAAGCCCTGCATTAAGTACTTCTAACAATTGACAGAGCATCTCTACCACACAAAGCTGTTTTCTTCCTTAGGGTGCAATCCTCAAGGTCACAATTCTTTGCAGCCTTCCAGAATGACAAAAGAGCATTACCTCTGGCCAAACAAGCTGTCAACATAAACTTTGTCATAGCTCAGATAAAGAAACTGGCAGACAGTGATAATAAGGTCTAATTTCTCTTCCTCCCAAGGGAGGTAAAATAGATTTCAAATCAGTCTAGAAACCTAAGAGCAGGAAGCCATGTTATCTTTGGCCACACAAAGGAGAAAAGACTCACTGTAAATTCATCTAAAGGTTCATTGATTTCGATGTCCAGCACTTCATCACTGTACAGCTGCTCCTCCTCCGGCTCTTCCCCATATTCTATTTGGTCTTCTGTTAATTCTGTACCGTGGCCTTCATACTGTCCTACCTCTGTGTATTCCTGAGTATACAATTCTCGTCCGTCAGGTTTGTGGTAGGCTACTTCATCCTCTCCTTGTTCGTACTCAGACTCTTGTTCTCCAGATTGGTCATTTGTGTTGTCAGACAGCTCAAACGATGTAACCATGCCAGAGGTGGCATTGAGACTAATTGTGACACCTTGAGAACTAGAGAGGATAAGAATACAAATGAGGATAACCACTGTGAGTGGAGCTCAAATTTTATCAAGACATAAGTGAGTTCTTACAAAGATTAAACTACGCCAAGCAAGTTATTCAAGTATTTAATAAACGCACTGTTACTTAACTATGAGAGAATTAGAGCCCCATGTGCCACACTGAGCTGGTAACAAACCCACCATGCAGACAGCACCTCCACTTGTCTACTACAGCTTAACTGACCAAAAGAACCAAGTCAACCACAGCAAGAAATAACATGTTAACTATTAATCATACACCTGAAGAACCAACAGTAAGATGTAGGATAATATTTCAAATGCAAGATTATACAATTATGTTGACACATATTAAGTATCCCACTTTAACACAAAACTGAATAAATATATCACAGACTTCAAGCCACTGTGTCTGAAAAACTCCCACGATATTTATCAAAACCAACTTAACTCAAAAGACTTAAATATAACAAAAATGTCAAAGTACTTGATTGAAAAATTTATTAAACTGGTAGAATAATTTTAAAGTAATTTTTATCTATAAAAAAATTAAACTTACATTAGAAAATCTGTTACAAACTTATGGTTCAATGGGAATACCAAGAAGTATGTTTACAGTTTTCCAATGTTTCCTCACAAAACTGAAAAATGTCTTGAGCCAGGCAGAGGCTTACACCTGTAATCCCAGCTACACGGGAGGCAGAGATAGGAGGATCATGGACTGGCCAAGGCAAAAGTTAACAGGACCTTAGAACAAAGAACAAGTCTGGTGTGCTCATGAAGCAACGCCTGTAATTCCAGGTACACAGGTGATATAGGTAAGAAAACTTAAGTCCGGGAATGGCTGAAGTGGAAGTGTCTGCCTGATAAGTGTAAAGCTGAGTTCAAACACCAATATCACGAAAAAATAAAAATAAAAAATAAGCCAGATGCCGGTGGCTCATGCCTGTAATCCTAGCTACTCAGGAGGCTGAGATCTGAAGATTGTGGTTCAAAGCCAGCCTGGGCAGGAAAGTCCGTAAGACTCTTATCTCCAATAAACCACCAGAAAACTGGAAGTGGTGCCGTGGCTTAAATGGTAGAGCGCTCACCTTAAGCTGAAGAGCTGAGGAACAGAGCCCAGGCCTGGAGTTCAAGCCCCACGACCAACAAAAATAAAAATAAATAAAAAATAAATTCCACCTACCAGAGTATTACCAAGTATACCTATCTACAATAGTAACTCAGTAACCAAATACATATTAATAAAAACTGAAATGAAAGAAAGTATCATCAAACTGCAGTCACTTGCTTAAGTCTGAGGTAATTACCCTCCAACCAAACAAGTTCTTTTTTTTTTTTTAAACTGTAGAGGTAATGAACAGAGGGGTTACAGTCACATAGGTCAGGTAATGAGTACATTTCTTTTTGAACAGTGTCACCTCTTCCCTTGTTTTCTCCAACTTTTTTCCCTCCCGACCCCCTTCCCTGCAAGCTATTTAGTTTGGTTTTTTTTTTTGGTTGGTCGTGGGGTTTAAAACTCTAGGCCTGGGCGCTGTCCCTGAGCTCTTCAGCTCAAGGCTAGCGTTCTACCACTTGAGCCACAGCACCACTTCCGGCTTTTTTCTTTTTGCTTATGTGGTGCTGAGGAATTGAACCCAGGGCCTCACGCATGCAAGGCAAGCACTCTACCGCTGAGCCACCTTCTCAGCCCCTCTATAATTATACAGGGGCTAAATTTATTTACCCTTTGTCCCCAATATTTCTATGCTTCCTCTACCCTACCCCCAAACAGATAAATTTACAGAAATCACAAAAGGTAAAATAAAAAACCTATTGTTTCCATTTTTTTAGTTCATTTTGATAAACATCATTTTATATGATCATATGCGAATTAAGCTTTTGTGGTCCTCTGCTAAGAATATCCTCTTCAGTCTCACCGTGTGAACTTAACCAACAAAATATATCAGGTACACCAAGCTTTCATAACCTGCATCAACAGAAAGGATTTTAAATTTATTTATGAAACAATCCATATGGGCTTCAGAAAATACTAATATCCATTTAGAATATAATTACTCATCAAAGACATAATACCACATTATTCAATTGTGCTCCATTGTAATTATAAGTGGTTCCTATCAATTTAAATAAAGAACATCTTAATGAGTTAGTATTGGATACCTGAAATTTTCCTCATCTTCATTATCACTCTGTAAAAGATCATCATTCAGCTCTTCATCTGACAAATCCGACTGATTCTAATTAAAATAAGAAATCTAATTAATGAGTGTCACTTCTATAAAAAGAAAAACTTGTTACAAAAGGGCACATTATACCCAACGTGTCTAATTCATGTTACTAAAACATTTGCCATCCAGGTTCCCTCAGTTTGGTACCAGCATAGACAATGAAAAGGTCTCACATACAGCCTCCTCACTAACTGATCCTGACTGATTTTTAGATGCCACAGGCAAAGCAAAGCAGTAGCAAGCTTAACAATCAAATGTAGTTTAACCTTAACAGAAAAGAAAGACAGTAGGATGACCCTGAATTATTTTATTACAGGTCAATAAAAAAGTGAGTGTCAAGTTTCTCAGTTCCTCAGTTTATGACAGTGCTGGGCATAGATCCACCAGAAAGCAGAGGGAGCTTCATCATATTGATGAGAGTGCCAAATTTCGTAATATCTGCCAAAAATAGTCCAATACTCTACCTTGGGGGATAGAGGGCCCCACCTTCCTCCTCTTTTGTAATTTTTTGTATGTATAAATTACTGTTACTCTTCTAAAAGATGGCCAAAACCACATACACACTCACATGTTCTTTTGGGATTTTTTTTTGTCAGTCGTGGGGGCTTGAACTCCAGGCCTGGGTGCTGTCCCTGAGCTCTTCAGCTCAAGGCAAGCACTGTATCACTTGAGCCACAGGGCCACTTCCAATTTTCTGGTGGTTTACTGGAGTAAAAGTCTCGCAGACTTTCCTGGCCAGGCTGGCTTTGAACCGTGATCCTCAGATCTTAGCTTCCTGAGTAGCCAGGCTTACAGGCATGAGCCACGGGTGCCTGGATCATTTTTTTTTTTAACATTAGAAACACTTACTTGGTCTTCTACTTAAATGAAACAAATGGTTTTTTCTTTTTTTTTTGGGGGGGGGTTGGGGGGAAGACACCTACCCCTTAAAAAACAGGCTTCTGAAACATCAGCGATTTTAATAAGCAAAGGTAGTTCCAAGGGACCCCATCTACTAAGGACATTACAATAGGGTTAAAACAACAAGCTAATGATCAGCTTACTTAAAGGGAATGTGAATTTAAACAACACTATATTTAAGATACTCAAAATGGAGTTTCTGTTAGGTGACAACCTGCCATCCAAACCAACATGCTGCTACCAGGGGGTAAGCCAGGCCTGTCACGGAGAAACCTAAGTTCAAGTATCCAAATTCAGTGAATAAAATCTCAAGAAACTAACAATTCAATCACTCAAGAGGCTGCTTCCCTAAGTTTTCAGGTAAACGTTTAAGTATTTATCAAGAAGCAGTAAAGTAGTAATTCACCAAGCAATAATTCACCAAGCAGACAAAAGGAATGCAAGCTGTGATGGGCCACGGACAAATGTTAAAAATTCAGTCCTCTCTCTCAACTCCAACCTACCAAGTAATAGACACAGGAGGTAGACAGAAATATCCATTTCACCGGAAAAGTTAGGACTTTCCAAGAGAGCTATGGTTACATTCCAGGGGTCAAGCTGGTTCTCTGCACACCTCAGGAAGGTGGGGAGAACTGTTTCTCCACAAGAGGCAGGCAAGTTGGACAGAGTTCTGCTCAGCATGGTCTGCAGGACAGCAGGACGGGCAGGAGGGAGTAGGAGAGGTAGTGGACACTAGTGAGAACTCTCCTCCTGACCTTTCTTCCCATTACTTTTCCCAATGCTCATTATAGTCTGCAGGACAGCAGTACAGGCAGGAGGGGGTAGGAGTGGTAGTGGAGGCTAGTGGAAACCCTCCTCCTGACCTTTCTTCCCATGACATTTTCCAATGCTCACAGGCAGGAACTTCATAGAGCAAAACTTACAAAATGGGAAAAGATGGTTCCCCAAACATTCTCCCATACTGGACCTATGAGCTACTCAAGTAAAACACACAAGCAATGAAGGAGCGGAGACCTGTAGCCTACTTCTCTAACAGTCTTTTAAACGTTCTGGCTTAGTCATACCAGCCTCTTCATCCTCACATTTCAATGGTGCCTTTAAAACTGGACCCTAGCAACCTCCCTTCTCTGACAAATGACAGTGTGCACCCCACCCTCAACCTGTCAAGTAGGAGCTAGGAGCCTCTCTAGACAGGTACACAATGAACACTTCACCAGGCTCCAGGAAGAAAGCAAAGGCCACACAAGAACACACCCAACAAGTGGGACCAATCACTGACTTTAGCAACAAACTCACCAATAAATACCTCAAAGGCACAGTACCTCAACCAGACATCAAAGAAGCATTAAACCACCAGAAATCACTTTCCATAGCTCACAGTGACAATTTTTTTTTTTTTGGGTCGGTCGTGGGACCTGAACTCTGGGCCTGGGCGCTGTCCTTCAACTCTTCAGCTCAAGGCTAGCGCCTTACCACTTGAGCCATAGTGCCACTTTCGGCTTTTTTCTGCTTATGTGGTGCTGAGGAATCGAACCAGGGCCTCATGGGAGGCAAGCACTCTACCACTGAGCCACCTTCCCAGCCCCAACAAAGATTATTTTTAAAAAGCAGCATCAAAGCTGGAAAATGGATAGGTGAGAGTGATGTTTATAAATACACTTATTCGGAACAGAAATTGACTAAACAAACATTTCTGGAAAGCAACGTAGCAATATGAAACAAGGGCAAAAATTTATGGCAACTTTCATAGAAAAGAATCCTAGAAACATACTAAGATTTACTTGTTAAAATACGATTATATTGTCTGAGATTTACTTCAAATTAATTCAAGAGGAAGGAGGTGGGTAGAGGTGAAGCAAGAGTACCTGTAACTGAAAACTGATGACATCTGGTTGAAAGGCACATTAAGATAAATAATATACTTCTCTTCTTACATTCACTTGAGATTTTCTGGTGGTGGTGGTACGTGTGTTGTTTGTCTAATTGCTATGGTGTCACTATCCCTCCAGGCTGCATGTGTTACAATGGGAGAGGTCTGGGCACTCTAAAGTTAGACTATGTGGAGGCTAATAATCAGTATGAAGCAAAACAGAGGAAGGAAAATTGGCTTGGAAAAAGAATCCTAAATGCTAATAATACAACAGAGAAAGTTAACAGAAAAATGGCAAAACTAACATTTCTTTTATAAGATCTTAAGTAATACTAAAGAAGACAAAATGAAAAGACAATGAGATGTAAAAAACTCAGATAAAACAATCTGTGCTATCTAAAATACAGAAAATACAGACTTGAATACCACTAAACACTAAAAGTGCAACATGCTTTAGTGTAACTGTTGAGCGTAAACCTTCATAATTTTAAAACTTAAAATTTTAAATGTAAATAACATATTGAGAATAGTAAGTTTTTTATTGAGAAATAAAACCTCAAAGTTTCATTTTCATCTCTTGCTTAATGTTTCTACTTTTATGTGTTTTGTATATAAAATAGATTGCTACAGTTTATAATGTACATATACACATACAAAAGATAATGTGACTTACATGTTTTATTTACAAGAAATTTTTAATCTTACTTATATGAACATTTGTTTTATCTCGGTATATTTATCTTCAAACTCATCAATCAATACCCCCCAAAAGTGAATTCCAGAATGAGTATACAAAATATCAAACTTCCAAATGGTACATTCCTTTAAAGCAAGAGCAAGTTTTATGTTATCATAGTCCCATATTTGATACTTGCTAGAGTGCTCTGGACACAGTTGGAACTAAAATATCTAAGCCAGGTGGCTCATGCTTGTAATCCTAGCTACTCAGGAGGCTGAGATGATCTGAGGATCGAGGTTCAAAGCCAGACCAGGCAGGAAAGTCCGTCGGACTCTTATCTCCAATAAATCACTAGAAAACCAAAAGTGGCGCTGTGGCTCAAGTGGTAGAGCACTCACCTTGAGCTGAAGAGCACAGGGACAGGGCCCAAGCCCAGGGCTCAAGCTCCACGATTGACCAAAAAAATACATAAATAAAATAAAATATTTGCTTTAAAGGATTTTTTACTGAGTTATAATTAAGGATTTACTAATAAACAACCAATTGTGCATTTAAAGAAAGAATTCAGAGCTGGAGGTATAATGTAATTCCATTTCCAGCACTGTAACAAGACAAATGACTTTGTAATTGTACATCCCATGCATGTGTTCTAGTAAATTCAATGACCATGATTTTGCTCAGAAGTATCTGTATTTTTCTTACCTTTTTGCCAGACAGCAAATCTTCTCCAAGTAAGTCATCTTCAAGTTCACTGGAGGAAAAAAGAGAAATGTCAAAATATTATTCCTAATAAGATTGGAAAGTAAGTGGGTCAATTTGAAATGTGATAAAGCCTGGTGGGTTTAGGGCTTTCATGTGAAGCTGTTATACTTTCCTTCTGCTTTATTAACAATGAAAAGCCCTATCTCAGTCTGACTCTAAATGAACAAAACATAAAGGCACATCTTTGAAGATGAAGAGTTCCTCTACGCTGTTGTTTTAAGGTATCTGAAAAGAGGAAGGCAGTTCCCCCAGGCACACTAACTGGGACGGTAGTAAGAACAAGTAAATAAACTAGAAAGAATTTGTGGCTTTTGCTGACAGACAAAAAAAAAAAAGTGGAAAAAAAAATCTTTAATGACTAATCTCTAGCAAGAGCAGTTTTTGAAAGAAGATAAACAGCCCCATCTGTTATAAAATAAGTGAACTGCACACAACAAAAGCACAGTACTGCATCCAAAGGATGGAGACTAGAGCTAAGCCCACAGAACAAGCATAATTTATATAGCAATTAATCAAAATGTACCAAGCACTATTTTTTTTTTCCAGGTAAGGGGTAGGTTTATTCAGTAGACCTGCTGGAACCAGGCCAGGTTGGCACTCCACGCAGCTGGTAAAGGCCTGGGAAAGACCTGAGAAAGAGCTGGGAAAACAGGTTGGAAAGAGGTGGGAAAGAGAGAGAGCTGGGAAAAAGAGCTAAGAGAGCTGGGACAGAGCTGAGAAAGCTAAGCACTGTTTTATAGGTATAGCTCTAGCTGACTTAATAACTATCAAGTAGACACTTACACCACCTTTATTTTTCAGTGGGAAATCACATACTCTAAGATGTCAAATGACTTGCCCAAGAACACCTGCCTGGAAGCTGTGATACAATAGGTGAACTCAGTCAGGCTTTAGAGTCCAAATCCTAAGTACCAACCACACAGCCCATAGAGTAAACATGGTTTTTCATACAGTCATCAGTTAGATAGACAGAGCTTAACAAAAGATGTAAATATGCAAAGAAGTTTACCAAATACATTAAAACTACACCAACTGTAATTAGTGGCAAGAGTAATTAGTCATGTGAATCTCTCCCACAATAACTAATAGTAACTGGGGCTGGGAGTGTGGCTCAGTGGTACAGTGCTTGCCTAGCAGGCATGAAGCTCTGGGTTTGATTCCTCAGTACCACATAAACAGAAAAGCCAGAAGTGGTGCTGTGGCTCAAGTGGTAGAGTGCTAGCATTGAGCAAAAGCAGCTCAGGGACAGTGCCCAGGCACTGGATTCAAGACCCAAGACTGGCCAAAAAAAAAAAAAAAACACCTAGTAGTAACTGCTCTAGAAATTTTAAAAGCAAGCATACTACCTGGGAAGAGGTTTCTTTGTTCCACTGAGGGAATTCTTAAGTATTTCACCAGGATAACCATTTGGGTAAGAACAACCTTTTTGGCCAACAATCTTATCAAAAATTGGAGACAAGCACCTCTTTGAAAGCAAGCACATTTTTATTTACAAACAGAAATATCCTGAAAAATGCTTCAGAAAACATCTCCCCCCTTACCTTAGTATAATTCTCCACCAGAAGCCCAGCAATATGAACTGACATCTGTCTTTACTGTGACAGTTTGTACCTTGTATGCATGTATGCATTCTTAAAAAGGCACTTTCATCTTTATTATCAGAAAAATGCAATTAAAATCAATATGTATTAAGATGGTAATTTTTAAAGTCTATCCAAATATTGGATAGGATGTAGAGCAGAGGGCACTCTGGCATAGTTATACCCGTGAATGTCCAAAAGTCAATGCTAGTACTGCTAGTACAGCCCTGGCACAGCCCTTTGAGCAATCTTCTACCTGGAGAGCACTAGTCCACAAGGGAGGCTTATTCGTAACAGACCATCAGGGAGCCACAACACCACTTTCAGTAACATCTCTATGTATCCCAGGGGCAGCATCCAGTCAGCCTAGACTCCCCAGTAAAGACGCACAGGAGACAGGAGACAGCATGTATGTACCTGTCCCAATCCTCATCAGCAGCTCTTCTTCTCCAGGACCGCTCTGCACCAGGCTTATCAAACTGGTCAAAGTCATCATCTGTGAGGAAGAGTCCATTCAAGTCAGCTTTGCAAAACCAAGACAGACACAAATAATCAACTACCAAACAACTGAAGGATTCCTAGTCTGACATTTCAAGATGCAAAAGATTCAGATATTATGAGTACTTTAAACATTTTAATGTTATTCTTTTTATTATTTTAAGTGATTGTATAAAGTCATATAACAAAGCAGTTTATGAAAGCACTGTATCTTGATCAGTGTCACACCCTTTAACATTCTCACCCCATTTGACCCACCCTCCTTCCCTTACTTTTCTTAATTTTGTGATATATACAATGAATTCTTAGACGTGGTAGAGCACTAGCCTTGAGCACAAAGGTGGTCAGGGACAGTGCTCAGTCCCTGAATTCAAGCCCCAGGACTGGAGAAAAAAAAACAACATGAATTCTTGACTGAATTCTCCCCCTTCATTTATTCATCAACCCCTCTCCCCTTTGTTCTATCCCTTCTCCCACCCTGTGGGTATCCATTTCCTGGTAATGATTTTGTTGGGCTCTGATCTAGTCTTTTTTAGACATTTTTAATTAAGAATAAATTTTAGGGGCTGGGAAGTTAGCTCAGTGGTAGAGTGCTTGACTTGCATGCACGAGGCCCTAGATTCAATACCTCAGCACCACATAAGCAGAAAAAGGCACAAGTGGCGCTGTGGCTCAAGTGGTAGAGCGCTAGCCTTGAGCTGAAGAGTTCAGGGACAGCACCTAGGCCCAGTTCAGACCCAGGATCAGCAATAAATAATCTTTTTTCCAGTACTGGGCCATGACTCCAGCCCCTTTGTGCTTCAGTTACTTGTCATGTAGGGTCTCACTCTATGCCCAGCCTGGCTACAATCCTCAGGCTTCCCATGTCACTAGGAACGACAGGCATGTACCTCTGCACCCAGCCATTCCACTTACACTGAAACTGAGGTAACAGATGGAGACCACTGCCCAGCCATGGAGTTGAAACAGAGTATCCTAAACTTTCATACCTGGGCTAGCCTCAAACAAGATTCCCCCCCAATCCCTGCCTCCCAAATATTACTGCTACTACACTAAGATGTAAACCTGAATCAATACCTCATAAAACTGCACCCTGAAATATGTGTTTGGGGCTAGGCAAAAATTTCTTATGTGACTGCAAAACTGATGAGTTATGACAACCAAAATTTAAAACATCTATTCTCCAAAAGACACAGTTAAGAAAATAAGGGCTGGGAAGGTGGCTCAGTGGTACAGCACTTGCCTTGCATGCCTGAGGCCCTGGGTTCAATTCCTCAGCTCCACATAAGCAAAAAGAAAAAAGCCAGAAATGGTGCTGTGGCTCAAGTGGTAGAGCGCTAGCCTTGAGTTGAAGAGCTGAGGGACAGCGCCCAGGCCCAGAGTTCAGGCCCCACGACCGGACCCAAAATAAATAAATAAATAAAAACAAGTCAGACTAGGAGATGAAGTGCTTCAAAGTACTGTACTGTTTGCCTGGTTCCTGTGTGAATTGAGACCCCTAAACCTAGGAGGAAATGTGAGCCCACCAACGGCTGGCATCTTTAGTGGGGATGCTGCAGTATTAAGCCTGAGTCTGCAGGGCCTGCTCTCACTCTGGAGTATCACCACTGAAGGGAAATGGAGATTTTCAGAATGACAGTTGAACGCTGAACAGTCTGCAAGTCAAGGTGTCACTTAACGAAGATGGAAAAAGGAGAAGAAAGGTGTTGGTGACAGGCCATGGTGTACTGACCCAAAGTTTAGAGATGTTATAGCAGTCTCATTACAAAGGCATGGTTGGTTGAATTAACAATGAATGACAGAGGTAGCTCTTCCAGCCTCTTCCTCTCCTGGGAGGCAAGAGGTTGAGGGTGAAAGTTCTAAATTTTTCAACACGTAGCTCTGGCTCGCGCCTACAATCCTTGCTACTCTCAGGAGTCTGAGATCTGAGGATCACTGTTCAAAGCCAACCTGGGAGTCCATGAAACTTATCTGCAATTATCAAAAAAAAGCTGAAAGTGGAGCTGTGGCTCAAGTAGTAGAGGAAAAAAGATTAGGGACCACACCCAGACCCTGAGTTCAAGCCTCAGAACCAATAGAAAGATGAAAAAGAAAAGAAGGGGAGGGGGGCATCAGGGGAAAGAAATTAAGAGAAAGGGAGGGAGCAGCGAGGGAGGGAGAGAGAAAGGGAGGTACTATCTGTATACAATAGATATTACTTAACCTTTAAAAGGAAGGAAATTCTGACTGGGTGCAAGTGGCTCAGGCCTGTAATCCTAGCTACTCAGGAGGCTGACAACTGAGGACACTGGTTTGAAGCTAGACCAGACAGTGCAATCTGTAAGACTCTTTATCTCCAATTGAAAACCAAAAAGAAGGAGTTAGAACTTTTGCTGAAGTGGTAGAGCACCAGCCTTGAGCAATAAGAGCTCAGGGACAGTGCCCAGAGTCCCTGAGTTCAGGACTGGTACCAAAAAAAGAAAGGAAATTCTGACACACATAGCAATTCTGCTACCCAGGGAATTGAAGGTATTATACTCACTGAACTAATGACTCACATGGCAATTCTGCTACCCATGGAAATGAAGGCATTACACTCACTGAACTACTGATTCAGTCTTAAGAAGAATACTAAGAGCCCTGTAAACCTGGCTTAATTCTTAAATTCTCTCCACTCACTTCCCTCTTTCCTTCAGATCATTAGACAAATTCTTTTTAAGGCTCTAACTTATTTACATCAGTCACATCAGTTCATAGTATTATGAATCATGCTAAGCAGAAACAAAGGAAGATAATTAAAGTGCAGTAGTGAAAAAGTGCACATCCAAAGGCCCGGGCAACGAGCAAGAGGAACACAGTCCACACCTTGTCAGGATAGCCTCATCCTAAGCCTAAACCTTGCACTGATATTTCCTTTCCATCACGACATCTGCTGCAATTTTCATAATTTTCTAAAACACACCAATGAACCCAAATTTTATTTGCCATTTTCACTATTTCCTCCTCTTTCCAGGAATTTGGACTTGGATTAGAAATATTAGAGACTATTAGCTTGGGACAGAGTTTTAGTAACTACTGTGACAAAACAAGGCCTGCCAGATGTTGGCCAAAATCAGCCACCACCCATTTGTGTACATAAACATTTAAAGGAACACATTAACGTCAATGTAATCACATAGGGTTCATGGCTGCTTTCCAGTTACAAGGGGCAGAGGTGAACTGCTACAACAGAAATCATGAGCCCTGGAAAGTCTGTAACATTCACTTCTTGGCCTTGTAAAAGTTGTAAACTTTTGTGTCTCAAAGGTTCTCAACCTTCCTACTTCATATATATTCCTATTCTGAGTCACTTAAAGTTCCTCATTTTATATAAGACAAATCTAGACCAGTTATTGAGATATTAACTAAAAAAAAAAACAGGTAATATTCAGTAACTTGCAGTCAACATATTAGCTCTACAGTATAAGTATCAACTACTAAGTAGCCAAACAAAAATTTCAAAAAAATTCTTTCATCATAATGTTTTATATAAGCTTGTACTCGTTTAAAAAACAAACAAGCAAAACTGATGTAGTAAGGGGCCCCAAGACAGGGTCTTCCTAAAAAGAACCTTCGATTTATGAAATAAGGAGCACACTGGTCATCTTGAAAGTAAGTCCTATCTGGTGTAAGCCAGGGCTCTGCCTCTTGCTGTGGGGGCCACAGAGGCCCCCTTACACCCCGAGAAGACACAGGAGGAAGCCAACATCAGCCAACTCCATGGTCCCATTCTCACTAAGAGTAACTGATACTCCATTTCTTTTCCCATGAATTACTAGACACTTTTTAAAATGTGAAACCTAAATTCATTTACTGTATGCCACGTTCTAAATTTGTAAAGCTTAAGAGACAGAATGCTGTGCTAGGGATGTAGCTAACAGGAGGGCACTTGCCCAGCATGTGTGAAGCCCTGAGTATGATTCCCCAGCACTGAAAAAGAAGCATATATACATATACACACACAGCAAGAGACAGACAGAAAGTTGCTAAAAATTTCCAGAGAATACTAGCAATACTGGAGTTCAAACCTAGTACTGGAAGGCAAAAAAAAAAAAAAAAAAGCTTTCAGAGAAACAAGGTAACACAAAAAATTTTAAGGTATTGGAATGACTTGTCAAGAGTAGAACACAGCAAGCCATCACAAATTTAAAGAAAATGAATCCCTACCCAGAATTCTGAGCCCACCCAAGTTGAGCCAAGTTAAAAATTTGTTCAGACACACCAGTTTCCAAAAAATTTTTTTAAAAAATCTACCTTTGCTGATTGCTGGTAGCCAACACCTATAATCCTGAAATCTGAGGTTCCTAGCTAGAAAAGTCCATGGGACTTGCATCTCCCATTATCCACCAAATAAATGGAAGTATGCTTGTTTAAGTGGTAGAGTAAAAAGAGCCAAATGCAAGTGTAAGGCAGGCCCTGAGTTCAAGCCCCAGTATAGGTATTAAAAAAAAATCTGTCTTCAACACACCCACTCTGAGGAAGCAACAGTATTAACTGTGTATTGACATGAACATATAAAGAGTATTTCTTCTGGGTGAACTATCACCAAATTAACCTTTGTATTATAAAAGCTAAACAGACCAACAATGAAAACTAACTGAAAGCATAACCTAAAAAGTCAAATGAGGGGCTGGGAAGGTGGCTCAATGGTAGAGCGCTTGCCTTGCATGCCTGAGGCCCTGGGTTCCATTCCTCAACACCACATAAGCAAAAAGAAAAAAGCCGGAAGTGGTGCTATGGCTCAAGTGGTAGAGCGCTAGCCTTGAGCTGAAGAGCTGAGGGACAGCGCCAGGGCCCAGAGTTCAGGCCCCACGACCAGACCAAAAAAATTGATTAATTAATTTAAAAAAAAGTCAAATGAGGGGCTGGGAAGGTGGCTCAGTGGTAGATAGCTTGCCTTGCATGCATGAGGCCCTGGGTTCGATTTCTCAGCACCACATAAGAAAAAAGAAAAAAGCCGGAAGTGGTGCTGTGGCTCAA